CTAAGCCAAGGACCTGCCATCTGATCCCATGGACCGTCGCACAGCTTCCGAACGTCGGCCCAGAGTCGAGGAGGGGGAGGCACGACGCGAGCTGCTCTTCTAATAATAACAGTAATAACAAGAATAAGAATACATAATAATAATAGTACTAATAAGAATACATAATAATAATAGTAATCATAAGAATGAATGATAATAATAATAATAATAGTAATAATAGAAAGACGTGTGTACCAATAGCAATGAGAAGAGTAGCAATGTAAATCATAAGTTTTAAAAATGAATAATACTGAGAATGATACTGGTAATAATAGGCATGGGCGTAGTATACGAACCCGGATAATGAGGCTAGGGTTTTTGGGGTGTGTGACGATATAATATCATATTAGGAACCACAAGGACTAGATGATTCATCATTTTTTGCCGCCAGGCTAGGTTAGAGGTTTTTTGGGTATGGAGGTGAGTACATACATATATACACATATATATATACATATGTACACACACACACACATTCACAGAGATGTTGTTGGTAGGGTTGGCTTCCACCGACGTTCTTCTTGTTGAAGTGAGGGGTCAGGTGTGCATTAGGATCTTTGTGGCAAAGTATGCGGTTGAAAGAGGTTTTGGGATTCGCAGGGTGTAGGTTTTGGGATGAGGCGTTCTGGCTAGAGGCCCAAAGCCCTGAACCTGAAACCCTTAGCCTACACCCCGGCCCCAAAAGCCTTAGACTCTAAACCCTAAACCCTAAAAGCCTTAGACCCTAAACCCTACACCCAAAGCCCTGAGCCCCAGTCCCAACCCGACCCCTTTCTTGAAGAGGTGGCAGCTGGTGACCTGGCTTTGCAACGCCTCCGAGCAGCTTCGAAGCAATGCCGAAGCTTCTTTCTGAGTTCCTCCTAAGTTTTGGGTTTAGGCTTTAGGGTTTAGGGTTTAGGGTTTAGGGCTTTTGATATCAGGGTTGAGGAATCTTAGCCTTTTTGAGGAAACTCACGGTACTTGGCTACTGTCTGGCGACTGTAGTATCATTGCGACTTATAACTGACCCCAGCTCGATCACTCAGGCACTAGGACCCGATGTACCAGGTCCCCCAGATCTCTTCAGCAGCCCGCACGATTAGACCACAACACGCCCGCACAGGTTTCAAGACACCCAAGTTTGGAAAGTTAGAGATCGCCTTTTTGGATCCAGGTATGCCGAGAATCTGGCAGCACAGCTGCAGAGGTTGGGGGAAGGCCGGGAAAGCGAGCACCATCTGGTTTTCGATGTCGTCTTGTACTCCGCGTGCGGAGCTGCAGGACCCCCGAGCATGCGTTGCACTAGAAGCCTAAATAAAGGCATCATTATTAATTTCCAATCCTGTTCCCTAGGGTGTTACCTTAAGAAAGCGTATACACTCTCCCCAAACCTGTTTCAACTGATTAAGGTGCATATGGGTAGTTCTCTAAACTAGGGTCCCTTTTGGAGTCTTTCTTATAAGGGCCTAATTTAGAGAACTATCCATATGTCAGCTTCAGGTCCTAAAGCCAGAACGTCGGAACAAGGAGTATGGAACAAACGAAGTGAAGAAACAACACTGTGGTGAAGCCGGGCTCCTATGATTTTCGGGGCCGCGCAGAGCTGCCATAGTATAGCATACTATGTATATTATAGCCATTATATTATGGGTTCAGGGTTTAGGGTTTAGGGTATGTTATAGAAGCCTTAAAGAGTTCAAGCATTTCAAGGAGCCCGGGCAGCTCTTCACCACGTCCACGGGCTCCTCCTCGCCATCCAAGCCGACTCCTCGGTCACTGTCTCGGAGGGCGTCGTTCTCATCCGTGGGGAGACTTCGCTCCAAACAATGAAGCCAGCTAACGGTAACTAGCAGTGTGAAAATAGCCCTAGCAACGATAGGTGCAGGGCTGACGGTTTAAGTGGGGGTATCTCGTGCGGCTAGTGTGTCTTGAGGTGTTCGGAGAAGCATCTTGCAAACTGCAAGCCGTGCTGAGTGATCCTCGAACCCTGCATCCTGCCGCCCGTTTCAACCCTGTGACACCCGATGTCTACATGAACTGCAGGTCTACAACTTAAGGTTTAGGGTTTAGGGTTTAGGGTGGGTTGGTGCAAAATCCTGATTCCTCTGAGTTCCTCAATAACTATGCTCCTGGAGTCTACTTCCACCAGGGCCTTCCAAATCAATTCCCAGAGGAGCCCGATGACACAAGTGCCGGCAATGCGCTTCAGATGTGGCAAGGGTTGTGATGTCTAGGCGGAGGTCAGGATGTAGGGTTACTTATGTGCATATATATATATATAGAATATATATATATATATATATATATATTGATATCTTTATATGACTATAATCAAATGTAATAAAATATAGAATATGATAATATACTATAATATAAGATAAGATAATATAATATGATATAATACAATACACTATCATATATTATGATATAATACACTATAATGGTAATATATATATATATATACATATATATATATATATATATATACACACACATGTGCATATCAAGCGGGTGTAACTTTTCGGCTTTGCCGATGGGCGCAATAGTTCAAGCATCGCGCTTGCATGAACCACAAGCATCAGTAGCTCTAAGCCGAAAGCCTTGTGACTGTTTCCATCCATCCCTCTCTCCCTCCCTCCCTCCCTCCCTCCCTCCCTCCATCCATCCATCCATCCATCCATCTATCCGTGCATGCATGCATGCCCCTAAACCCTAAACGCTTGCATCACTAAACCCTATGCCTAAACCCTAAACCGAGAAGCCGCCAAACCTTACATCCTCATATGGGTAATTCATCCCTTTCCAGGTCCCCAATATAATATGGCACCCTTAGAAAAAGGACCCTAAAAGGGATCCTAAGTTAGAAAACTGCCCCTATGTCAGGATCTGGTCAACGCTGGAACGTTCCCGGAGAAGTTGTTGGATGTCCTGGTGCAGCAACCCAAGGACTTTCCACCGCGAGAGGAAGTTCTAATTTAACCATCTACGGCCCCTAATTTGCCAGAATAGTTGCCAATATTATCACGCCTTGTTTGGGCTGCTTATCCCAATCATACTACAATTAACCCCATTTTTTCTGTTCTAAGACCTGAGGCCTCTCACTTTGTTTAAAGCAAAAAGGCTGCTGCGGGAGCAGTCCAGTCATGTTTTTGTAGGCGCTTGGTATGTTTTGCAGGGCTTGGGCGTTTAGGGTTTGGGGGGTTGATAAAGGGGTATAGGGTTCAAGGGCCTTGGGGTGATTGCACATCACAACTCCCTTCTGCCCTCCCCCCCCAGCCAGCCCCCCTTTCCCGAGCGCGAAGGCGTTTAGATTCTTACAGTCCTCCCATGTCTTTTGAGTGCTTCAGCATGCAGAGGTTTGAGGTTGAGGGTATGCGGGGCCGGGAGGGGTTCAGGGTCCCGTGAATTGCCCTTAACCCGCCCGGGCAACCCTGTACGCTACGGCCGGATGGTAGGAACACTCAGATATGTCCCTCCATTAGGGTTCTGACAGAGTGTGAATGCAACTACCTTACCTCTTGAATCTCAGATGTCAGTACCACCAAACCCAATCAATCAATCAAGCAATCAATCAATTCTGAGCTTCATGAGTCCCAAAGCCCAATGACCCTACACGCTAAACAAACCCGAAGCTTAAAGCCCTAAACCCTAAAACTAAACCCTGAAACCCTAATCCCAAAACCCTAACCCCTAAACCCTAAGCTTTGAACCTTCAAGTCGTATCGTGAGGCCCAACTTCCGCGGAAGCGATTGACGATCTTCGAGGGAGCTGCTCCTCGCACGTTTGAAGCAGACATGCTGTAAATGTAGAGGTCTTAGCAAGCACCCTAAACCCTAAAATCTTAAGGGTTCCCTTATAACATAACTACACTAGGAGTTACCCATTAGACCATGCGGTTCTTTTGGGCTCCTGGTCATAAATACTGATACCCTAACCTAGAGAGTCCACATATGCTACTATATGGAACAAGGACGGCCTGTTGGGACCTACAATTCCATCATGGCAGTATATATGGAC